GGATGTAGGTTTAGGGTTTAAGAGGAGAGTGTGAACTGCCACCTGGAGGTACTTTTAGTCTCAAGAAAGGCTATGAGACAATAAAACATGATTTTGACCAGTGATCTGTTCCTCACTCATTAACAAATATTTTTTGAGAACTTACTGTGATGTTAGGTTCTGTGTTACAGAGCCCTTACTGCGCATATGGCAGTAAATGCAAAAGATAGAGACGCTACTCTCATGGACCTTCTCCTCTTCCTCTTCTTTTTTTTTGGGGATGGGGTGGGGGTAGGGGTGTGTGTGTTTTACATTTTATTTTTTTATTTTTTTGAAATTGTGGCAAAATACAAATAACATAAAATTTACTATTCTAACCACTTTTAATTGTATAGTTCAGTGGCATTAAATACATTCACATTGTTGTGCTACCATAACCACCGTCCATCTCCAGAACACTTTTTATCTTGCAAAACTTACAATTCTACACCCATTAAACAATAACTCTCCATTCTACCCTCCCTCCCAGACAACGGCAACCACCATTCTACTTTCTGTCTCTATGAATCTGACCACTTTAGATACCTCACATAACTGCAATCATACAGTATTTGTCCTTTTGTCACTGGCTCATCTCACTTGGCATAATGTCCTCAAGGTTCATCCATGCTGTAGCACATACCAGAATTTCCTTCCTTTTTAAGGCTGAATAATATTCCATTGTATGGATATGCCACACTTTGTTTATCCGTCCATCCACTGATGAACACTAGGGCTGCGTCTCCTTTTGGCAGTTGTGAGTAATGCTGCTATGAACGTGAGTATACAAATATCTGTTTGAGCTCCTGCTTTTAATTCTTTTAAGTACATACCCAGAAGTGGGATTGCTGGCTCCTATGATAATTCTACTTTTTAATTTTTTGAGGAACCACAATATTGTTGCCCATAGTGGCTACACCATGTCACATTCCTACAGACAGTGCACAAGGGTTACAATTTCTCTACATCCTCACCAACACTTGTTATGTTCCCCTTTCCTCTTTTCTCTTTCTTTCCCTCCTTCCCTCTTTTTCTCTCTCTCTCTCTTTGATAGTAGTCTTCCTAATGTATGTATGATCTACGCATCCTTGAGACTTCTTTATGTTTTACTGCAGAAATGGTGAATCTGCTGGTCTATGAGAGAACGTTTGATCTCCGGGGTGTGTGTGTGTGTGTGTGTACCAGTCTTTTGTGCCAGTCTCTGAGTATTTTTACTATTAGTATCCAAGCCACAACCTACCAAGTGTTTGTGACCATGAAAAAAATCCTGGCTGCACCAGCAGGAAGTGCCTCTGCAGGAGCCCTACGCTCTGAGTAAGGAGGTGAGGCGTAGCTGCTAAAATCCAGGAGGCCAGCTGCTGAGGGCATCTGGTGCTAAGTAGAAGGCAGGGCTTCCCCGGGAAACATCTAATGCCTATTCATATGATTCATGATCAGAGGAAACTTGGGTCCACAACCCCCAAGACGACCCACTAAAGGGAGAAAAGAGATGGAAAAGTGGATTGATGAAATGATATTTCAGAACAGGGATCAGAAAGGTGGGCAGGATGTAGGAATAACAAAATCATATAACAATTCAGATCACTCTAGAGCTTATAATGTTTCTAGCATCTTCACTTCTTCATCTAATTATGATCATGCCTTTGGCAACACCGCTGCTTGTTAACGAGTTCACCCTTTCTAGCCGGGTGAAAAAGGAGAGAAACGGAGTAAGCTCCTTTGAGGTCTCATTTATATAGAGACCCACAGAATCTCGAAGCCAGAAGGGACCTTAGGGACCATTTAATTCATTCTTTACTTCACCGATGAGGAAACCATAGAAGTGGCTTTTGGGAAGGTGGAGGTGGAACGCTACCCTCTTCTCCCCTAAGTGCAAGCAATCTGAGAAGTGCTGGCTTTGGAAACCACAGAAATGTTTCTGTTGCAACACTGACTCAATTGTCAATCCTTAATTTACACCCCAGATTGGCTGCTTTCTGATTTTACGCCACAAAAGCCTCTGTGTTCTATGAATATGATTTCCAGACTTGGCTGTCCTATAAATACATATTTATTAATAGCTGGATTTAATTTTTTCCCCATAAATTAATTGCATAGAAAAGGAAATGGGCTGGTATCATCACCCTAAAAGGGAGGAGGTACCCAAAGATAGTTCTCCTTTTTTCTACTCTGCCACTCAGTAGACTGAAATGAATATAAAAACAGGGTGGAAAAGACTCACAGTGTTGCCCATGTGAGAGGAGGAGGGTGGCACTTTGCCACCTGCAGGCACAGGCGGTAGAGAACACTCTGTGTGAACCAACAGAGAATGTGGTTCTGCCTCGATGCAAGGGCCTGGCAATGTCCCTCATTACATGCAGAAGTCAGAGCAGGAGTCCCAGGCTGGCAGGGAACACCAACACGCAGGCCTGGAGTGGGCTTCAGAGATGGTCAAGGCATAGCAGAAGGCCAGAGAGCATCCCTGAATTTGCGGCTGCTGTACCAGGTCCACCACATAATATGTAGGAAACTGAATCCAAGAAAAGAAAACATCCTTATAGTCTATGAGTGGCAAGATTAAGACATCTCTATTCTGATTTCCATGCCCTTACTAATTTTTACACTGGAGAAACCTTCTGCCTGTGCTGTTATTTTGCTAGGGACATGTTAGGAAGACAGCAAAAATCATAGGTTGCACTAAGAATCTTGCAGCACACAGTGCTATGCTGGTTACATAGGAATATAGTTCTCAAGCTCCCACTTCTAATGCCAAACCAAAATACAGCCTAGTAAGGAAGAGGGGCTTAAAGTTTTTCATTTGTACCTAGAACATAGCAGGTGAAGACAGTTTACAACCATTATAATGTGGGCAGCATATGCCCACACATTCCCTGGGCCCAGGTTGTACTGGGTTTTGCAGTGCATTAAATTACTTGGAGGTTTTATAAACCATTCCTGCCTTCCCACTATTTTCCTCCAGCCACCCTTAGAGATTTTGATATGACTGGAATGTGTCCTATCTCTTAGATGTGCTGGGGCAAAGACAAGTTTAAGAGCCATTGATGTGGCTTCATAGGAACCAGTCACAGCTCTGTGATCCTAATATACAATCAACTCATTTCCTAGCAACTTTTAGAAGAGTTTTGCCAGACCAATAGAAATATAATGCAAGTCACATATGTAATTTTAAATTTTCTATTAGCCACATTTACAAAAAGAAAAAGAAACAGGTGAAACATTAATAATATATTTAACTCAATATATCCAAAGTATTGTCCTTTCAACATGCAATATAAAATATGATATATATATCATACAGGGGTACTAAGTCTATAAAATCTGATATGTATTTTATTCTCACGGCACATCTCAATCCACAATTAGTCACATCTCAAGTGCTAAATAGCCAAATGTGGCTCGTGGCTACCATCCTAGACAGCACAAATGTAAACTGTTCTTACAGTCCCCAGGGCTCAAACCCTCCCCATGCCACTTTCATTGACATGAGTTTACTCCAACAGAAATAGAAATTTCTCCATAATGTAGCCATTCTTGCCCATCTCAGGGCCCTTTCTTGTCCAGATCTAATGTGTTCACTTTGGTCTTTATTACATCCCAACTCTCCAGTTGTCCACTCGGTCATCGAGCAGTCATTACTGAGTGGCTACTAAGTGCTGGGTATTTGTGTTAACTGATGAAGACAAAAAGATAAATATGACATAGTCCCCGACTTCCAGGAGCTCTCGGCTTAGCAGGCACAAACATGAAAACGTGATGGGTGCTATTCAGAGACGCATGCAAAGGGATGCACGGAGGAAGGAGTGACTGTTTCTTCTGGGACTTCTGGAAAGCATTCACAGAAGGGGACATTGGGCTGGGTTTTAAAGGATGAGAAAAATGGTGGAAAAGTAGGGAAAAGGTGTTTCAGGCATAGGGAAAAGCATATTCAAGACACAGTATGAGGACATGTGTCCTTGGAAATGGCAAGTGTCTAGTAGGCAAGAACATGACAAGGAGCGCCTGGAGTGAGGCTGGCCACGTTAGTGAGGCTGCCTGATGACATATTTAGAATTACTGCGGGGTGATTATCTAAGCAGGGAAATCTTGTGGTGAGCTGTAGCACAGACTGGAGAGGACAAAGAAGTAAGGAGAGCTTGAACTACGGGGGTAGCAGTATGTCCAGAAAGGAGGGGATGTGAGCGCCCATGTGAATAAAGGAATGTTGGAGCACTATTTTCTGAAGCTCATCTCAAGATAAGCATTATGATGGAACCTGGGCAAAGGGCCTAATTGTTGCGGCTTTCTAGGCCCAAGCTCACTATGCTAGGGCATTAGAGCCACTCGTAGGGTATTTATATGGGACTATTACAGTCTGTTGTGGTCTCGGAGCACTAAATGTCCCTTTGCCCTGAAGGAATTAATAGGACGCCTTACAGATTAATTTAGGTGGCAGGCAGAATCAAGTGGAATTGCTTCCAGGAGTGCTAGGAAAGTCACACCTGTGAGACCCAGCAGGTGCTGGACAGCACCTGGCCAGTCCGATCAGATGATGTGGTGGCTCTCATTACCCTGGAACCCATGGCTAATTTGACCATGAGTTTCCTGGAAGGTGGTTCTGGAGCTCGCAGGTAATGACAGGGCAACAACATGACATCTACAGGGAGAAGGAGCCTCAGAGATCCCACGTGTTCTCCTTCTGCAGATAGGGAAAGCTGAGGCACGGAGAGTAAAGGGGCTTTCAGGCCACACAGCTATTAAAAGGCAGAGCCAAGAGTAGAAGTCACCTTTCTCGATTCAGAAGTGGGCGCTCCTCTCGCAGCAGACTGCACTCTGTGGTACCGAGGCCACAGTGAGATTAGCGGAAGATGTGTCATGAAGAACTGTTTACCTTCACAGCAACTCAGGTGGAAAAAGAGAAAGCTTGGCTAGAGACACACTGGATAATAAAAGCGTCTTTGTGAGGCAAGTTGACATAATACGGTAGCAGTGAGCTGGGTACTCACATGGGGAAGAGTCTACGAAGTCTGGATCGATGTTATGCAGCAACTCCACTCTGGGGGACGGGCTTCCTTCACTGCAAAAGAATTTTTTAGGAAATGTTAATTTCCTTTCCCAAATGGGCATACGTTATTTTAATACTTCCTTTTCTTGTACTTGTAGGAAATAACAAACTTGCCAGTTAACAACTTTGTCATGAATTCAGAGGTCCACAAAATCTGCGGTTGATACATCTTCAACTAGTCATCATTTGTCAACATTTTTTTTTTTTTTTTTTGAGACACAGTCTCACTCTGTTGCCTGGGCTAGAGTGCCGTGGCGTCAGCCTAGCTCACAGCAACCTCAGACTCCTGGGCTCAAGCAATCCTCCTGCCTCAGCCTCCTGAGTAGCTGGGACTACAGGCATGCGCCACCATGCCCGGCTAATTTTTTTCTATATATTTTTAGTTGTCCAATTAATTTCTTTCTATTTTTAGTAGAGACGGGGGTCTCACTCTTGCTCAGGCTGGTCTCGAACTCCTGAGCTCAAACTTCCGCCCGCCTCGGCCTCCCAGAGTGCTAAGATTACAGGACAAACTGCACCCGGCCCCGTTTGTCAACATTTTAACAATGACTAAACACCTCACATAAAAACTTCAGTGTCAAGCATACGATGATTTTATAAGAGAGGCCTGGGACCCTTTGCAGTAAACATTGTGGCTGTATTTAAATACGACCCTCGTTTATGCCAGAGAAATGAGAATTCAAGTCATCCTGGATAAACTTCATATTGAACACTTACAAGGAAATGAAGAAAGAGCATCTGCCAAAATAGTGGCACCAATATTACAGATGCAATCTATGTCTTAAAGATTAGCCTACATAAGAAAAACTGATGTCTTCCATACCCAAATTTGCAATATGGATCTCAGATTTAATAAAATTACATGTGAAATAAATAGATCTCTTCAAGATTTTTGTAAAAAGTGTACATTCACATACAATCACAACCTACATGACTTCTGAAAAGTAACTTGGAGATCAATTGGACTCAACCCTCTCCTGTTACAAATGAAGAAGGTACATGGTAAGTTATTGGTAGAATATTGGGTTGTGTGACTCTCAAAGCAGTGTTCTTAAAATATTGGGAGCATAAACAGCACCAGATGTATGTGAGAATCACGTGAAGTGCTCATGTCATTTTGCTAATATAAACTCAGTCTTTGTTAAACACAGTTTAAATCATTGGGAGGGTACTGAGGACTACTTGATAATCTAGTACTGTTTAGCTAAGTACTAAAAGTTCCAAAGTAGTGTTGACACCATAGGAGTTGTACACGATCTGAATAACCAATAATGCTCTTGATGTAACCTAGAGGACATGCTTTCAGGTGGCCCAGTGTCTACACCCCAAACTCACAGCTAGTTGTTTATAGTAGTGGTTTTGGATTTCAAGGGCCAGGAAAATTTCAAAAGATCTGGGTTGTGATTCACAACTTCGTATTTGCCAGGTAAGGAAATATTAAAACAAAAATTAATTAATTAAACAAAACCAAAAAAGCTTCAACTACCCATCACCGTTATTTCATAAAATAAAAGTAATTTTAATAGCAAAAAAAGGTTAGAAGGACATAATCTCAGAATAAATAAGTCCTTTAAATTGAATATGTTTAACTTTAGTATTCTATAAGATTTTATTGTCCTTCTCTATTCTATAAAACACACTGACTAGAGAGGGTGGCAGGGAAACAGCACGCTGGCAGTCCTGGTTCCTCAGGAAGTATCTTAAGAAATCAAATTTATTGATAACTTCCTATAATCAGTCCCTTAACATGCCCCTGTATAGGAATATTAGTACCTTAAACACAAAGTTTTAGCATACTGACATAATTTCCTCCTCAAAGTTGTGTATACGAAAGTGGGTTGGAGAAAAAAAAGTACGTGTTGTATGTTCAAAACACAGTTTCAGCAACATCAACTGTGTCTTCAACTACAGTCTTGTAGGACTAACAGTGGCCTTATCAGATCCATAAAATGGTTACGGGATTGCTTATTGCTATATTATAATACACGTTAGCTTGTATCTTCTACATGTATCTCTCTCTATATACATTTATGTATGTGTTCATTTATACATAATGCTACAATGCTGTAGTATTCCATGATTCTTCTGTATATTATATTGTTCCAAAGTTTCATTTCCATACAATCAAAGCACCAGAAAATGGGCCCTTCTGACCAATTTTGAAGGCTTCACTGTCTTATAGGCAGTACATTATCTTTGAGAGCAAAGGCTTTCAGGGTGTATGTCTCAACTCCACAGAGTACTGGCTATATAAACTTGGGCCTTGTTTTTCTCATTAGTGGAATGTAGATAAAAGTATAATACCTATCTTACAAGGTTGTTATGAGAATTAATTGAGGCAACAAAACCCCCTTTATTGCAAAATACAGATCCTAACTCTGCAGACCTGGAAAGAATATAACCATAGACACAAGACTATAACCTGAGACACAGATACAAGAATAATATGAATATAAAATGGAGCATTAATACTCCTACCCATTCTTCTTGCTGGCTAGTCCTCCCTTTATGAAACACACTGGGGTAAAATAAAACTTTAATTTCTAAGATATGTTATGATGCTCTCTCCTATGTGAAAGTCTCTATTTAGAAAAATATCAGTGTCAATATAGCGAAGTCACACAGTCTACTCATTATAAACTGTATATTAAAAAAATAGAAAAAATTTTTTTCTAGGAATTTCTCTTATTTTTTTGTTTAGGCAGATGGTATAGTTTAGCTGTGTAAGCAACACTGTCTTCATTAGACTGTTGATTCCATTTGTGAAATTTAAATCTCTGAATAATGACGTATGATGTTCATAAGAGATGATTTTTCAATAATCACACATGTTCATGAAATGCCCTGGTTTTAGGTGAACCAAAGTCATGAGTGTTTTCATTACAGCAGATGTTTGGGCTCCAGGCTGCTGGGAATGGGCCACCTTCTCTACTAGCTTCTTTAAGGTGGCATCTATGGGACAGTTCAAGGATGCTTACTGCACAGTGCTCACCCCCCAGCCCAGCACATAGTAATGGCTATGACAGTAGCTTGCAAAGAACTACATAAAGAAAAAGAACAGAACTATTTTGTTCACCACTCACTGCTTTATGACAGAAACCTACTTCTAAACCAGTGAAACGGGCATGTGTACAGCCAAACTGGAGTTGTTCCTGGTTTTTGTTTGTTTGGGCCAGGCTGGTTTGAATGATAGTAGCTTGCATTGACAGAGCATTTATTATGTGCCGCTCACCATTTTAAATACTTTACACGTAATATCTCATTTAATCCTCAACACTGCAAGGTAGAGAAAACCATGGCACAGAGTGGTTAAGTGGCACCAGATCATGTGGTTGAGCAGCTGATAGAAGCGGGTTTGGAAGTCAGGCAGACTGACTCCCGATTCCCTGCTCCTCACCACCTGTGTCAAGTTGTCTCCTCAGTAAAAGGTACACATGGCCTCAGTGTCTCCTTGAATGTGTTGTTTCCGTTCATCTAGTTTACTTTTAAGGCTCCATAAACAAATATCTCTATTAACTGCAAATGCCTCTATTAACAAAAGAGTTAATCATTTTTCTTCAGCCTCTTCTCTTAAAGATTCATTAAGTGATATCCTGTTGTCTCTAATGATGTATCAGTATTCCATTTAAATTTACCCCAAATTTCCCATTTTCTAGATTAGTTTTATTTACAAAAACAGGGCTACTCACTGATCAGTGACTAGTTTCCAATATGCTATAAATATTTTCTAAAGGTCTACAGTTTCAGACACTGAGGTCACAGCACTGTCCATTTATAAATAGAGTTTCCAGTTTTTGACTTTCATTTTCCTACTAGTTGAAGGGTGGGGCAGTGAAATATGTCCCATAAATAAATGAAATGCTATTACATTCCATACTTCTTTTACCACTAGCTGCTGACCATCTGTCATAAAAGACACACCCTGGAAGTCGGTATCGAATTTTCAGAAATCGAAATAGCCATGGCAATGTTTTCTGAGAAGAAATTTTGCAGGAAAAACCCAAACAGTTACCGATTAAAACACTGACGAGACATCCACAGGGTAATTTTCACCCTGTTAACCCTTCATAAGCATCATCATCATCACCATCATCTTCACTTCCAGCTACTGAGTTCTCACTATGTTCCAGGCACTGTGCTGAATCCTCACGTTAGTGCCTATGGGGAAGGCACCACTGTTGTTACACTTACACAAGGAAATTAAAGCTTAAAGACGTTAAGTAACTTGCACAAGACCATACAAATAATAAATGGAGGAGACAGGATTGGAACGAGATCTAATGACAGTGTACACATTTTTAATCACCATACTAGTGAAAGTCCTTGCAGAACTTATTTTCTTCATTGTGTATGTGAAGGTGACATTGGGTTTGCATAAATCCCATGCTCTTTGAAAACCCATTTTAACATGCAAATATCACCATGAATAGGTTAGGCACGGATATTATAAAGTTTTGACTAAATTTGGTGAGGAAATATATTAATATACATTGAATTCATTTGTTATAGTGTTATATCTGGGGAGATATTTTTTCATGTACATTTTTATTAAGGAGGCTTATTAAGTTTTTAAGTAGGATACTCAAGAAAAAAAGTAATATTGTCAAAAATCACTGAATCATCCCCTTAATATGATTTTTCCTATTCATTATTGAAAAATAATTGGTAGGACTTCTGGGTTAGTGTCAGGATAAACCAGAGAGTCTAATATGCCTTTCTTCCAATTTCCATTTTAATACCCATGAAGAATTACAAAAGATGAAAACGGGCAACAGCACGGGAAACTAAAGAGGAGACCAGATGCCAGAGTCCCCATGGGATTTTCACTAATGCCAGTGCTGAGGAGATTAACAACATATTCTTAGATTCTACCATAAGAATCAAAATCTAACCCCAAAGAAAGTAGAAAAAGATAGATTCACTTTGTCTACCTCAAAGGATAGGGCTCAATGGCTACAGTAAACAAGTGGGTGATGATCTCCCACTAACTGTCCTCAGAGCTAGCCCCTCAT